ACGGTTTTAAATGTCAATAATTTGTGATGATTTGAACTCCGATCTTCATTTACTTTTTGATCTGGCTAATTGAATTGTTAAAATGTGTTGAGAAATATATGTTCTAAAAAAGGGATATGCTTTCTACAACAAATGGAGAATCACATTTGATTTCATGGGCGAGTATTTTATCCATGAGATTGGGTGCAAATAAATAGGGAAATATACTTTGTTAGATGTAGAATTGAAAGATTTTAAGGTGACAGATTAGATACCCCAATTCGGTTCAGTTGATTGGAAACTAATGCGAGCATGTTAGCTCTCAGGTGAGGGAGTAGTAGGAGCTCTGGAGTGACAACCGATATCCTCCCAACCTAATCATGGAATTAGGGACCAAACTCTGGATTAGTCAATGTTCTTTATAGTGCTCGGGAGAGGGTAGAGAATAAAATTGCCCTATTTGGCACAAAACAGTTTTTAAATATATTTTTCAAATGATTTCAATTTCTTCACAAGACATATTTTCATTGTAAAGGGGAAGGATGTTTTCTCATACTTAAACTTTTTGTTAACAAAAATATTTATTTTATTTCAATAATTTACTTTTGAAAATTTAACATCTAGTTTAATGTACTTGTTATAGTCATACATTTGTATATTTAGTAACATTTCACTTAAGTAGTTTAATTTCAAACTTCATACTTTACTTTGTTTTTATTTTTAGCTTATAATAGAATATAAATAACTAGCTTATATATATTTCCAGCTTCGCTGTGAGATCGATATCTAGGACTCCATTAGAGTCATGTATTACTTGAATGATACATATACTTGCGTTATATGTAAAAGGGAATTAGGAATTTAAAAGAGGTTTTAAAGATAAATTATTTTCATTAAAGTTATATTATTATTTGGGTTACATTTCATCATTATTATTAATTTAATATCAATTTTTTGAATTTCGCATCAGTATCTCATCATCAAATTCAATTTCCACATATGACAATCGATTTGTGATTGCATTGAAATCATTCAGATGTTGTGCAACAGATGTACCTTCAAACATTTTCAAATTGAATAACTTTTTCATCAAATGCACCTTGTTATTCACCGATGACTTTTCATACATACGAGATAAAGTTGTCATGAAATCTGTTGTAGTCCTCTCCTTAATGACATTGTGGGCAACAAATCTCAACAAAGTTAATCGAATAACCCCACAACTTGTCGATCAGACAAATTTCATTCCGCTCCATCCATATTTCCGGTTTCTTACCCAGTAGTAGAATATGAAGTTTCTTCCCATAGAGATATTCATTTATATGCATCCTCCAATAACCAAAATCAGTGTCATTAAACTACTCGATCCCTGTGCCAACACTTCATCTTCAACCATCACTTTCCCTCAAATCTGAACCACAACTTTGATACCAATTGTTGTGAATTGATACCAATTGTTGTGGAAAAACGACGACAATAAGAGAAAAATTGGAAAGAGGAATTTGCAAAACAGAAACACAGTGGAACACACAGATCTATGTGGTTCGACAATTTGTCAACGTCCATAAAGTTGCAGAGGATTTTATTAGCTTTGAGACTTAAACCCGTCAATCGTCTCGATGATTACAAGAAAGAATTCCCTCTTTCTCATCCTCTCTCTACCTCTCTCCAACCGAGAGCCTCCCTATAGACGATCAAAGGGAAAAATAAAGAGCAGCTACACTGAGGAGGAAGACAAAGGGAACAACTTGTCTGTCGTTAGCCAATTATCGAATTAGAGATTAAAAATGGCTAAAAAAACCCATGCAATGCACAAGAAAGCATGAATTAAATCATCCTTTTTTTGCCCATTAAAGCATGCGAAATTCACAGAGGCGGGAGATCTATTTCACAGGTGGAAGGTTGAACGAGATCCTCTATAGGAAGGCACAGGCTAAGCTTAATAGGGAAGAAATTAATAAAGTATTTAATTTCGAATATCTGTCATATAAAAGAAGTGAATCGAGCTCCATATCACTCAACATTTCCCCCTTTCAAGTTAATGGTCCGAGGTGTGGATTGTCAGCTTGTCGGTAAGTGCTTGATGTTTAAGGGATTGCTTTAGGCACAACTAAAAATTTGGAACATACAATAACTTGACATTGCAAATGCATTTGTACGTGGAAAACTAGGGAATAAATTAATAAAGTATTTAATTTCGAATATCTGTCATATAGAAGAAGTGAACCGAGCTCCATACCACTCAACATTTCCCCCTTTCAAGTTAATGGTCTGAGGTGTGGATTGTCAACTTGTCGGTAAGTGCTTGATGTTTGAGGGATTGCTTTAGGTACAACTAAAAATTTGGAACATACAATAACTTGACATTGCAAATGCATTTGTACATGGAAAACTAGAAGATACCATCCACATGTCTCAGCCCCACAACTTCATCGACAATCAAAAGCCTCAGTGCATGGGTAAATTACAAAAAAACAATACATTATTTCAAACGGTACCTCAACAATGATATTCTACTTTTTGCGACTTCTTATATACACAACTTTTTAAACTAAATAATGATGACTCATCATTAATTATATATCATCACAAAAATATTCCGATATACTGAGTTGTATGTGTAAATGATATTCTTATTACAGAAGATTTAGATGATGTTATCATTATGTTAATTAACACTTTGGGAAAATAATTTAATTTTGAAACTCTGTAATATTTCTCAAATTATTGTGCTACAAATAGATATAACATACAAAATTTATTTTCTACATCAAACCAACCATCTCATTAAGCTATTCACAAAAGTTAGCGTGCTTCAATCCAAACATGTCCTCACACCTCAACTTGTTCATCCACAAAAACCCATCACCCAAAGCTCGCCTCTGTTTGAATCTCAACACTGTAGGCAAATCAAATGTTATCTTCAATATCTCATTGTCGACCTATTATCACATTTATTGTCAATCTATTAAGTCAGTATATGCATACTTCAAACCAAATGCATTATCAACTACTTGAATGACTTATACAGTTTCTCAACGGCACCATCGGCCATGGTCTTCTCATCAATTTCTGGCTACTTCGCTGATAGGCATATGTGGATGTAGATTGGGCTAACGATAATGACAATAAAAAATTCACTATAGGTTTTCATATTTACCTCAGGCCTAATTTGATCTCCTCGTCAACCAAGAAACAACCAACTTTTATTTGATCCTCAATTGAGGCATAAGAACACACTCTTGCAATAACAACAATAAAGATTCTATGACTTATAAGATTGTTTCATGAACTTAGCAGGACACCAATACCCCCAACCACGCTCTAGAATGACAAGACATGACCATTGCTCTAGGTCATAACCCAGCTTTTCATGCTCGTACAAAACACATAAAGGTGGACTATCATTTCTTCAGTGATCATCTCGAACTCAAACACATACAACATGTGCATGCATCGACATGAAAGATGGACTTCAAAAAAGAAGACGCGGGAAGGAGAGACAGCGTGACAATTGTGGTCGAACGGAGACGTCGGGCGCAAGTGATCGATGGAGAAAAGAGGGGCCAGCTTAGAATGTAGATGAGATTTCGATGACTAAAATGTGTGGTTTTAGATTTAGGGTGATTGTTTTAAAATATTAAAAGTTTAGAGGTTTTTTTTTATTATTACTAAAATTTTAAGAAAAATTATTGCATTAGGACACCTGATGCAAATTTGTATGCGGGTTCCAATCACAGGGTGTCGTGTGGCAACCCGGGCTCAAACCGTGTATGTCAGCATACCCAAATTATCATGTGACTCCTTGTTATTTGACACCTGATACAAATTTGCGTAAGGTGTCATGATACAATAATTTCTCAAATTTTAAGGGGGTAGATGGGTAAAAACTCCTAAATTTATTTCACATTTGCAAGACAAATAGAACAGTCAACCTCCGAGTTTGATAGAGGAAGAGATGGCCGCGCCGGCGGCCGAGCTGAAAAATGGCAGCCATCCACTTCCATGGCTGAATATAGTGATCACCGAACCTTTCTACCTCCTCCATTTGCTCCTTTTCTTCTCATACTTCGTCGTGCGCTGCTCTGCCCTACAAGGCCTTTCCCCAGATCTCCCTCTTCAGCTACTTCGTCGGGTATTTCTTTCAACTTCCCCCGATCAGAACTTCTATTTTTCATCTGATTCGAGTTTGCAACTATATCTGTTTACGATCGCCGGATATTCCATCTTCTTACAGGAGATTCAAGCAGTCCTTGCGTTCTCAGTGTTAACTGCGGTGAAGGTATCGTGTTTTGTTTAGCAGCATTTAGCTTAATCCTATCAATCGGAACTTTGGGATTTTAGATTCTATTGGATTTATAAATTTATATTCAGTCCTGTGATGATTAAGTTCAGTGTTTGCTATAATGGTGTGTAGTTTGTCAGAGAGGAAACTTGGGAGGCTTTCATTGCTGATCTCTTATTCTATTCTAAGGTAAGCCTCGAGCCTCTGATATTTTCAAGAATCATTCTGTACATTTTTTAGAGTAATCTGGATTTGTTCATAAATGCAATACATTTACATTGAAACTAGAAAGGGGCATTTACAAACACACCACACAACTTTCATGCTTAGGGTTTATAAGAATTGCGTGGTATGTATGCAAACTTCCCAGCAAGAAATTGTGCCCATGAATTTACAAATGCTATTAAGTTTGCTGCATTGGAATTAATTATATGGTGTTTTTCTTCTGGATTAAACAATTGCAGGTCTTCCTTTTTGCAGTTACACTGAATATTGATTATCATGCAGCTTTCTGCTACTCAGTGGTTTTTGCAGGTATGTTTAATATTGATCTTTTCACAGAAACAGTTCAGTCAAACATTTACTATGTGTACATTTGGAAATAGTGATTACTAAGAACAGAACATTAGGAAATTTATATGATTGCCCTGTAATTGGCCAAAATAAAATAGAAAAAAACTGAATGCAAGCTATCTTTCATTTAAAATTAACTTATCACATTTGCCATGTTCGTGTTATTCTAAATTATTTGCTTTCAATTCTTTTGTGCTCCTAATTAGGGACATTTACATGCATACCACCCAATCCATATATATTTACATATCTAACGTCTAAACTTTATTTGGTGTATAGTTCCGCGCATATCCCGATTTGTTGGTTGACATCCACGGTATAAAACCCCTCAGGTCGGGGGTTTCGAATCCCCTCTGGCATAGTTGGCCTTAAGGAGGTGGTATTTGAATTATTAGACCCATTAGGGGTGGCTGGAGGCTTGTATAATAGCCTCTGACCATTCATTACAAAAAACCTAAAATTTATTTTTTGCATTTATTTCACCTAAATCTTTCATATCACATAAAAAATGCCACCATTTTAACATTTACAAAGCGGAATACACATTTTCAAGTATAGTAGCGTGACGTGTATGTAAAAATTGAAGTTTAGGTGGTAGATTGCCATTGCCGGTTGACAACAACTTTATATATGCTTAAAAATACAAGAATTTGATATTGCTGCTAGAAGATTTAATTTCCCGGCAACGGCGCCAAAAACTTGACAGCGGTTATAGATTTGATAAAGATGTATATAAAATATTCAATAATTGCAAAGTCACACTTATCAACGCAAGCATACGTATCACTCAAGTAATATAGGGCTCTAATGGAGTCTTGGATATCAATCCTACAGGGAGTAATATTAGAGTCTACGAACTAAGAGTTTAGAAAATAAATACTAAATCACAACAATATAATTTAAATTGCATATCTGTCACTAATAGACAATTAAAATAAATATATAATTTTAATAATTCTTACATAACTAATTTCACTAATAAAGTCTATAATGTGAAGTTCAATATATAAGAAATCATTATCATCATTCTCCTTATCAAGAAATTATAGTGAATGAATAGAGTGAATTAGTTCAATTTAGATTGTGTCAAATAGTAACATACATATTTTTTACCCTTTGGTCAAGGCATAAAAAACATTGACTAATCCTATGTTTGTTTACTGAATCTGTGGCTAGGCTGAGAGGATACCGAATCTCACTTCGGAGTTCCCACGAACATATTTTCTTTTGGTCATCGGTCCCAATCCCGGATGTGAAAAGTGGAGGGTTGTGTTAGGTAGTCGACAACCAGCGTAAAACTTGTTGAAAAAAATCATGACATGAATCATTTTGATCATTGTGTAAGTCCTAGGGCGTCTCATAGAAGCGACGCGCTGTATAACCTGAATACAGTGAAAAGTGTGCAAGGGCCGCTACACCGGCGCCCGAGTGTAGTGTCAAATAAGCAAGAGTTCTCACATTACGGACGAATGCGGGTAAAGAAGTTAGTCCATGAAACTAATGAAACTAATATTAGGATAAGATATTGGAATATAGGTACTCTAGACAGAGAAAACTACTCAGAACTCATGGAGAATATATGATTAAACTCGGAATTTATATATAAAAGCAAAGTCATACAAACTACAATAAGTAAATACCACTTATCTCTAATATCTCCCGAAGCAAACTCCTCGAAGTTTCTCTGAATCTTTTCCTTTCTTTATAGTACACAGAATTTTTCTTCGAAACAGCAAGGAGGAAGAAATCTCTCACTTTCCCTCCACTCTTACAATCTCTCGAAGAATTCCTCACAATCTAACCTTAAATTAAACTCTCTACACTCTCTTCAACTTCCTCCCCCCTCCGAACTTTCTCCTTTTTTCGGCCAAAAGTTTCTTTTAAAGTTGTAGAAGAGTTTATCCAAGTGTTGCTTAAACATCCCCTAAAAAATAGTCCATATTCAATGCACCTGTTGAGACAAGCCACCTGTTGAGATAACCGCCGATCTCGCTGTCGGCGGCCTTCTAAAATATTTAATTCAGAACTCTCGAGAAAAACCCGCTGTCGGCGCCCTAGTTCAAATCTTCATATTTTGATCATTTTCGCTCCAAATTCACACTTTTTTGCATCTTTTCGCTCCAATGACCATAATTCAACATACATGTACCAAAACATTAAAAATGCATTTTTTTAAGTGCAATATCATCAAAATTAGTGTAAAATAAGTATGAAAATCTCAACATATTTTCTTTTGGTCATCGGTCCCAATCCCGGATGTGAAAAGGGGAGGGTTGTGTTAGGTACTCGACAACCAACGTAACCAGCGTAAAACTTGTTGAAAAAAATCATGACATAAATCATTTTGATCATTGTGTAAGTTCTAGGGCGTCTCCTAAAAGTGACACATTGTATGATTTGAATATAGTGAAAAGTGTGCAACAACAGCTACAACGACGCCCGAGTGTAGTGTCAAATAAATAAGAGTTCTCACATTATGGACAAATGCGAGTAAAGAAGCTAGTCTAAAAAACTAATATTAAAATAGGATTTTAGAATATAGGCACTATCACAGATTAATTAATGGAATTAGTTGATATTATGATTCAAATAAAGATAAATGTATTATGTATTCAAGAAACTAAATGAGTAGGAGAAAAGACTAAGGAGATTTATAACTTTGGTTTTAAACTTTGGTATTCGGGTAAGAGTTGCACTAGAAATGGTATAGGTGTAATTATAGATAAGAGTTTGAAAAATAATATTGTAAGAATTAATAAAATTGGAGATAAAATTATAGCCCTTAAGATTATTATTGATACTAAGATTTTTAATATTATAAGTGTTTTATTATAAGTGCTTATGTTCCTCAAGTAGGTTTAGATACATGGTCTAAAGATAAATTTTGGAATTACTTAGAAGACTTAATACAAATGATACCTCTTGAAGAAATAATTTTTTGTTCGAGGAGATTTAAATGGACATGTCGATAGAGTGCTAGAAGACTTCAGCTATACTCATGGTGACTGCGATTTTGGAGTAACTAATGGAGAAGGTAGAACTATTTTAGATTTTGCTTTAGCGTATGATTTTGTTATTTTTGATATTTTATTCAAGAAAAGAGATGAACATCTTATTACTTATAAGAGTGGATCTAATAAAACACTATTATTTTGTTATGAAAAAAAGAGATCGTCGAGAATGTAAAGATTGTAAGGTCATTCCAATTGAAAATTTAAATACCCAACATCGTTTATTAGTTCTAGATTTTAAGATGAAAAGTTGTAAAATAAAGAATACTTGGACTCATCATCGTAGAATTAGATGGGGAACCTATAAGACACAAATACAATTATTTTTATGAGTAAAGTTCTAGATTTCAAAATTTGGGATGTTCATGAAGAAGCAAATGTTATGTAGGATAAAGTAACAAACGCTTTTAGACAAGTAACAAAAGATGTGTTTGGATAATCTAAAGAAAAAGTTTTAATAAATAAAAATAGTTGGAGGTGGAATAATAATGTGCAAAGAAAGATAAAATATAAGAAGTTATGCTATAAAAATTCGTTTAAATGTAAAAGCTTAGAGAACTGGGAAAAATATCAAACGGTCCGAAGAGAGTCTAAAAGAACAATCTGCGATGCTAAAAATTTTGCTTTTAATGATCTTTATAATGGATTAATTTGTAACATATTAGATCTCAATGGGGGTGAAAAATATATGTTTAAACTAGCCAAACAAAGAGAGAAGAAAAATAAAGATTTAACACAAATAAAGTGTATTAAAGATGAAAATCAAAAAGTACTTTTTTTTAGAAAAAAAATATTCAATAAAGGTGCGTGAGTTATTCTGATAAAATTTTAATGAAGTTTCTGAAAATACGATCGACCTTAGTGATAATAATAAAACGTTTCTTTTTTACCGTCGCATTAGTAAAATAGAAGTTGATGAGGCTTTAAATAATACTAAGGGTGGAAAGTCTATAGGATCTGATGATATCCCAATTGAAGTGTGGAAATATTTAGGAGATTTGGGAGTTTCTTGGTTTACTAAACTCTTTAATATTATTTTAAAAACTAAAAATATGCCTGAGGTGTGGAGGAACAGTATTTTGGTCCCCATTTTTAAGAATAAAGGGGCTGTACAATAGTGTGCAAATTATAGAGGAATTAAGTTGACGTGTCATACTTTAAAATTATGGGAGAGAGTAATTGAATATAGGTTAAGACGCACTACAAATATTTCTCATAATCAATTTGGATTTATGCCGGGCAGGTCTACTATGGAAGCTATACATTTATTGAGAGGTTTGATGGAGAAGTTCATAGATAATAAGGAGGATCTACATTTGATTTTTATTGATTTAGAAAAAGCTTACGATAAGATTCCAAGAGATATCATTTGGAGAGTTCTTGTGAAGAAAGGTGTTGATATGACTTATATTCAAGTCATTAAAGATATGTATACTATAGCTGTTACTTGTGTTCAAATTGAAGGAGGATTGAGCAAATATTTTCCTATTTCTATTGGATTACATCAAGGATCGGCTTTAAGCCCATATCTTTGTGCTTTAGTTATGGATGGTCTTACTGGACATCTACAGGAGGATGTACATTGGTCTATACTTTTTGCTAATGATATCCTTCTCGTGGATAAAACGAGAGAAAAAGCCCAGAAAAAACTTGAATTCTAGAGGTCTACATTGGAGTCTAAATGCCTTCATTTAAGTAGAACTAAAATTGAATACATGGAATGTAATTTTAGTAGTAGTAGCTCTAGTGACAGAAGTGTGACTTTGGGTGATCAAATTATTAAAAGGTGTGAACGATTTAAATATGTTGGGTTTGTTGTTCAAAATGATGGTGATATAGATGGGGATGTTAATAGTAGAATTTAAGTTGGTTGGTTGAAGTGTAGGTATGCTTCAGGCCTTTTGTGTGATAGAAAAGTACCACTTAAACCGAAAGGAAAATTTTATAAGACAGTGGTGAGACCTGCAATGCTTTATGGCGTTAAATGTTGGCCTTTAAAAGAGAAGCATAATAATAAGTTAAGTGTTGCCGAGATGAAATTGATTAGGTTGATGAGTGACTTTACACTTAGAGACAAAATGCGAAATGAATATATCCGTGATAGGGTTGGTGTAGCTCCTGTGACGGACAAAATTAGAGAAAGTTATTTTAGAAGGTTTGGTCGCATTAAACGTCGATCATTTGATGATCCGATTAGGAGAGTAGATGTTTTAGATTCGGCTTGTGTTAAGAAAGGCATTGGTAGACCTAGGAAGGCTTGGGCTTCTTGTATAAAAAAATGATCTTAATTTACTAGAACTACATGAAAATTTACTAGAACTACAATTTACTAGAACTACATGAAAATATGACACTAAATAAGACGCAATGGAGAAAAAGGATTCATGTAGCCGACCCCACGTAGTGGGATTAAGGCTTTGTTGTTGTTGTTGTTGTTGTAGGTGGTAGATATGTAAATATATAAAAATTGAGTGGTGTGTATATAAATCTTCCAACTATTTCTCATTCAGTAACTATTTGGCTGGTCCTCCACAATTTTATTTTGATAAATGAAGTTCTGCAAAACTTATTAATTGTTACTGTTTGCAGCTATCTTTATTTTGACCCAGCAACCGCCTTATGATGGAGTAGGTACTGTTAATATTCCTACTTCCTACATTTCAAGCGCTTGCTTTTACATCTTATAACAAGGTTGCTTGGCTGAAATATATTTTCTGACCTGATTTTGGTGAGGTTTAAATTGCATTGCAATTTCATGGAAAAGAAGTAAATATCAAATATGATTATGAAGCAATAAGCCAACTGATTCATTGATGCAGCAAATTTGGTGCTGTCTTTACTTTCTTCATGCTTATATTCATGGTTTTTTCACTAGTGATCTTTTGTCTAATTAGAAAGAACGAGGAGAGGATCATAGCACTTGTTATTTTGTTTTGTCTGGATAGATGATTTTGAATATTGTTTATTAAAAATGATAATTGCATAGATGTCTTTGAAGAAATCTTATGTAGTCAAGTATTTTATTATTACTCTATTTATTTAAGTGAAAAATTCCTTATTTTGGGCTTATATTGATTCTATTGATGAAGTATTCAAATTCCTTAAAAGGGGATGACTATATTTAATTATTTACTTCATGAAATAAAGATTTACTCTCATCCGTAAATTTAAATAATTTATTAAATATGAAAATAATAATAAAAAAGTTTATTTAAAATTATTATTCCTAAAATACTTTCAAAGTTAACGGTTGTTGTTAACTTAAATCATTAAATTCAACCTATGGAGTAATTTGGATCCATTTTTAATGATCTACGGCTAAAATTGAGCACTTCAGAATTTTCACTTTTTGATGTTTCCATCTGTTCACAAGCTAGGTGACAACAATCCCCTCACTTAAGATGGGCATGTTGTCATTCAATCCTCATCATCTTTGTATCATTTGTAATAATAATAATAATGCATTGTATTGCACCTATGTTTTCTCCATCCCTTTCAACATAAAATTCTTCTGCAGGCGAATCACGTCATTTGACACCTTTACAGTTGGAAACATTGCTTGCTGAAGGAAATTCCTCTAGATTCTGGCTGGTTAGTTACTTTTTCTTTCTTTCTTTCTTTTTTTATTATTTAAATCTTGGATGATTTTGATCTAAATGTGCTCATGCTGCTTGATTTTGATATTCTATACGCATCGGCAATAATCCTGCATAATGCTCTAGTTCTTTATGATTTATTTATTTGATTATTGATACCGAAGTTAACCCAAACTGCGACGCAAGACACAATTTTAAATGACTCTAAATAAGGTTACAACGGAGACTTGAGTAAAGTGAACAACTACCCAAAGCAACGCTGCAGGATAAAAGCAAACACACAACACATTAAGAACGACACAGACAAACATGACGAACAGGAAATCCAGAGTGGAGGATTATGGAGAGCTGCGACCTTGCTGGGAGAAGTTTGACAGCAGGTGGGAGGGAGGAAGAAGTTGCACTGCAGCTGGTTGGGTGTAGGGAGGAGGCTGGACGGCGCCCTGCAAGGGTGCAAGGGGAGTCTGGGAGCTGCTGGGGGTGTTGGAGTCGGGGAGCAGCAACGTGAAGAGGAAGGCCGGCCTAGAGAATGCTGGGAAGGGGTACTGCGGCTGCTGTGAGGAGTCGGAGGGACTGTTGGAAGTGCAAGAGATGGGGAACAACAGCAGGGAGGCTGGCCAGGAGGATGCTGGGAGCGGTTGGAGGCAGGACAGAAGCCGACTGTTGCTGGGGAATAGGGCAGGGGCTGTGACAGCCTGCAGGGAGACTGTTGGGATGAACTGGCGGCGGTTTGGAAGAACGGCAGGGGGTTGCAGTAACTATAGGCGTGCAGGGAGATTGGTGGGGCCTGTTGTAGGGCTGAGAAGCGATTCACAGTAGCAGAGAGGGTGGACGGATAGATAAATATCTCGCCATTGTTGAGCTATAGTCGGAGCACCACCTGAACCTATGGAGACGATCACCACCTCGGATGAGGGACCGCCAGAGCACTACCTCGACGTTGAATACTACCATCGAAGGGAAAATACCAAGGTTAAAACCTAAATTCAGATGCGAAAACAAGACCCCTCACTCTAAGCACATCATCCCTTATTTATAAAGAGGCTAGACTTACTTTAGGTAATGAAAATAAGAAAGGAGAACAAAATATAATCATGATTTCAAATTTTAGGGAAGGATTTAAACTAAGAAAGTGATAGAAAGGAAAGAAAGGAAAGGGAGGAAATGGAGGAAAGGAGATGAAAGGGGAATAAAATCTTCAGAAATTATGATTTGAAAATTCAATTTATGAAACGATTATAATGGAAATTTAGATTTATAAAAGACGAATAAAAATATTCAGAAATTCTTATTTGAAAAGACTTATATTTAGAAGGCTAAGAAGGAAATAGGGGAAAGGGGAGAGAAGGGAAAGGGAGAATTTTTCGGGGCCTTTACGGAACTGTTGGTCCTCCATAGCCCCCGCGCCAATTATGTTAGAGAATTTTCGAAACACATTGTAATCACCTTATTGTTTTTAAATTCATAATGCAATTGATCTCAATTATATATGAAGGATGAATATTAATCTTTAAATTTATATTTCATTTTAGGGGCCTTTACATTCATAGCACACAACTCTTTGTATTTACATATTTCAAACCTAAACTTTCATATTTACACACATGGTACTCAAATCTTTAATATTACATAAAAAATAACACTATTATTAATTACTATTTAAAAATGAAATACATTTTTTCATGCATAGGTTTAAATCACCAAAGTGCTATGCAGGTAAATATAAAATTTTAGGTGTGAGATATATAAAGACATAAGAATTGCGTGCTAGGTATGTAAATCTTCCTTCATTTTAACCAAGTAAACTTTGTTATAATATTTATAGTTGGCCAAAATTAATGAATAGATTCTATCAATTATTTAGTGAATTCAATTGACATGGGCATCCCTCCCGCACTGACACGGGACGTCCAAAGTAGAGGCGAGATTTCATCCCGCATGCGATACTCCCGCGATCCGGACGTGGGAGATGGGTCACGTGAACGGCTCTCGAATCGAGCCGAGCGGCTCCCCTTATGATTTCTTCCCAATTTTCAGCATCTTTCCTTAATCTTTCACTCCTTTCTAGTCCTTTCCTATATGTGTGTTGTATTAAGGATTGTAAGGAAGTTTTGTTGTGTTTCTGTTCAGGATAGCCGTCGACATCCTGTTTCTCTCTTCAAGGGTTGTATCTAAGGGTGAGTGGTGCTCAAAATGTATCTCTTTTCAAGGTGATGATTCTCCTTCAAGGGTCAAGTGGTGTTCTAGTTTTATCTTTGTCCTGATGTAGTATTTATCCTTTTCTACCCTTCCCTGTGCCTTCCTACATTGCTTCCCCTCCATCGAGTTCACTGTCTCGTTGCTGTCGTCCACGGAAAATTGTGCAGCCACTGTTTTTATTGCTGTCCCCTAACATCCAGCCTTAGTCCAACCATCCTCTCCCCCTCCTTAACTGTTGTCCACTGTTTTTCTAAACCACACGAACAACATCCCTGCAGCCTAGTTGTTGTCCCAGTATTTCCTCTACGCTGCCATGATAGTTCCCACAACCCAAAACCGCTCCTAGCCATTATTCCTTTATTGTCCTGCCTATCTATTCCCTTGCTACCATCTCTCTAGTATTTGTGTCATGTCTATTGTTATTTCTGATTTTCGGGTATCATGTTATTGTATTTTCTCTTTCAATTGTGTTGGTTGTAACAACCTATTGACTTTCATTAATAATATATATTTTTTATTTTTTCTATTATTATTTAGGTTAATTCTGATATCATGTCTTTGCATTTGTGCTTTTTAATAATTCTTCTAACTTCTCAATCTAGTTTGAAAATGTCACATTATGTATATAATATTGCTCTTAACTCTATAATATTTATGAAGAAGTTAGTTAGGGCCATAAAAAAATTGATTTTCTTTTTAAGTTGCATTTTTGTTAATTTTTTTATACACTTATCAAGATTGTATCCTTGTTCCGTTCATTGACTCTTAGCTTATGTGCTATTTCTCGTTAGCATGCTAATATAACCTTAAGCTCTTATACCAGATCCAATGTAAGATATTTTAGGATTTCTATTTGCAGTAGGGAAATTTACATACTTTCCACACTATTTTTTTGTATGTTCATATCTAATACCTAAAGTTTGATATTCACATTTATAAGGCTTTAGTATCATGGACCTATGCATGAAATGGTGTACTTCACTTCTAAAAAGTTAATAGTGGTGATATTTTTGATGTGATATTAAAATTAGTGTGTTCTGTATGTCAATATGAACTTTGGGTGTTAAATATGTAAATATATAAGAATTGTGTGGTATGTATTTAAATGCCCCTTTGTAATATTAGATGCATGTATGCTGTTTTTGCATTTATAATGCATCTCATTATATGTTTTACTATTGAATTTTAACCTTTGAGCATTTTACTGTACAAATACTTAATTTTTTGTGAATTAGTTATTTTTATTTTCTTCTTTTGCGGAAACAAGTAAGAAAAGTACTACTTCACTACCATGTTCCTTTCGTATGAGGTTTAGAAAGTTTCAACCCTTGTGAATTTTAAATAATTTGGTGATTAATTTTAACGGTAAATTATATCTAGGCATTGAAAAGGGGCATTTACATACATACCGCATAATTCTTATGTATGTACATGTCTAGCTTCTAACATTTATATTACATTCATAACACTAAAATGTTCAACATCACATCAAAAATATATTTATCATTATCTTTTTAAAAGTGAAATACACCTTTTCATGCATAGATTATGACGACAAGGTGTTAAGTGTAAAATAAGAATTGTGGTATGTATGTAAATTTTCATAATATTCTTTTGATCATAACAATGTGAATTGTGCAGATTCCATCTCACGTTATCATTTCATATCAATTTGAATCATGGTTGTTTTTCCAAGTTTCTAGTTCAATTTAATACTCATTTTCTGATCATGCATCAATTATGTGCTTTGATAAGGCTATGTATTTTTCTGTCATAATACTTGGAGTTGATTTTGCTTGCAGGTTGAGTTTCGTGTTTTATGTTCATCAGCGTGTATTCGTACAAGTCGTATTTTTCCTGATCTTTCCGTCATGTGAGTCTTCCTATACAAATTATTTTATATTCATACCACCCAAATGTCATGTATTTACACATAACACCTAAACTTTACTTTTAATATTTATACCACCCAAATCTTTCATACCATATAAAAAATATTACCATTTTAACTTTTAAATAGTCAAATATACCTTTTCATGAATAGGTAAGGTGTAAATAAATAAAAATTAAGTGGTATATATATGTAAATCTTCCATTAAGCACTCATTATTTTTGAGTTGACGCAGATTGTATGTCTTTAAAAAGCGATGAAATAGGTTAGTTTAAATTAGATCCAAGTCCCACAAGTTTGTCAAATAATTGTTTCAGTTAGCCATTTTCAAAATGTCATCATTAGCTCTCAATTTCCGTCAAGTTTTGTTTAGATTCTGTAAATTTTAAGAAAATAGTTTCTTTTTTTTTTGGGAATGACTTACATTTGTTCTTTGCCATGAATATTCTGTGTATTGATCCTTATTATGAATTTTTTTCTCACATCCAATTCTTGTTGAAAATGGATTAAATGAAAAAATGACGTTCAATGGGACACAATAGAGAAAAGAGTATCTGGTAGTCGATCCCATTTAGTGGGATAAAGACTTGTTGTTATTGTTTTTGTTCCCATTCTTAGGGGAGAAAATGGGAGGTAGCAGCCCCTATGGTGGTGCTTGGAGATTAATTGAAAGGAAGAGAGTTGTTTTACCCAAAATTTAAGAGAATTTGGATCATGAAAAATAGTGAGAAAGCGAAAAAAATTGGCTCGGGACATCCTAACTAATTTTTTTGGCTAGGATGGATCTTGAAGTTATTAAATTTACTTTTAGATGAGTGCAATATAATTTTTTATTAACTTCTCATATATTATACCCATTTCAATGTAAATCCAAATACAATGATTTTGAGGCCTATCTTGATGCAATTATTTTCCCTTTATTTTGCTAGAAAATCAGTGCAGATTGCGTTATATGAACTACAATATAGTTGTCTTAACTTTTCTACCTCGTTTGTTTGGATCACACATCTTTATACCCTCTTAAAAAATAAACAAAAAGTTGCAGTGACTATTGATTGCATCATAAGGGGAAAACTAGAGAATGATAGACAGAGATTAGCATTTTGCCGCCAATTTTTTCTTGGTGAGGAAGAAATAGAGCCAACGAAACATGAATCTTTGTGTGAAAAATATTCTAGAAGAGTATCATTTATAACTTTTCATAAAGTTCATTCCTCACAGAAAACTAAGGGGCGCATCAAAATTTGTTGATACTACTTATTTTCAATTTATTAAAGATAGTATGTTATAGTTGTTACTTATGTTCGAACACGAGAAGGATTGACCAAGTATTTTCCTATTTCAGTTCGATTACATCAAAGGGTCGGCTTTAAGCCCATGCCCTTTTGCTTTAGTTATGAATGCTCTTATTGGGCATTTACAAGAGGATCTACCTTATTGTATGCTTTTCGCTGATGATATTCTTCTTGTGGATAAGACTAGAGAGTGTTTAGGAAAAGCTTGAATTATTGAGATGCACTTTAGAGTCTGAAGGCTTTTGCTTGACTAAATCTAAAATTGAATACATGAATGTAATTTTTAATGATCTTTCTAGTGTTGGGGCTATAACAATAAGTGATCAAGTCATTAAAAGGAGTGAACCTTTTAGATATCTCGTGTCTATTGTTCAGAATGATAGCGATATAGATGAGAATGTTATTAGTAGAATTCAAGTTAGATGGTTGAAGTAGAGGAATGCATCAGGCCTATTGTGATAGAAAAGTATAGCTTAGACTTAAAAGGAAATTTTTAAAGATAATGGTGAGTCATGCAATGCTTTATGGCGCATAATGTTGGTTTGTAAAAAAGAAGCATAAAATTAAGTGTTGCTGAGATGAGAATGTTCAGGCGGATGAGTGGTTTTGCAATAAGAGAAAATGTGAAATAAATATATCCATGAAAGGGTTGGAGTAGCTCCAATGACATACAAGGTTAGAGTCTTCTTAGATGGTTTGGTTTGATCACATTAAACTTCAACCATTTGATGACCCTGTTAGGAGAGTAGATGTTTTAGATTTGACTAATGCTAAGAAAGGTATAAGTAGAACTAAAAAGATTTGGGGCATGTTGCATAAAAAATGATCTAAATTTATTAGAATTAAATGAAAATATGACACTCAATAGGATACATAGGAGAAAAATGATTCATGTAGCCAATCCCAATTAGTTGGAAGGCTTGTTGTTGTTGTTTGTTGTGAAGTTTTGCTTGTAGACGATCCATATGTTATTTGGTTGAAACTATGCTTGGAATTTCAGCTGATTATAAAAAATATTTGAATGGAATTTCATTTCTTACATCTTATATTATACAAGTCAAGTACTCTTAACTAATTTAGCTTGATGGAATTGATGTTGGTTGGTGATAAAACCTACTAATTGTTCAATTTCATTGGCAGATATTCGAATAAAAATGTTTCTTTTGGGATAGTAGATCTCGGTCACTTCCCAAACGTAGCAAAGAAGTTCGGAATATCTCTATCTGGTATGACATTTTGCACTACAACTTTTGATTATGTGACATCTAGGGCTGTAAATGAGCTTGAGCAAGCCCTACGCTTGTTTGTGTTCGGCTCTTTCCAAATTTTATCTTGTTTGAAATGCGCTCGTGTTCTAAATGACTCATGAATAATATGTTTTTGCTCGACTCAATTTGAATTTTTTTATTCGTTTCCGCTTATCTGAAATTGTCTTAAGTGATTTACAAAACAATAAAATTTAATATTTTTCTAAATGTTGTGTAAATTATTTTTTTATTATTTAATTACTTAGGGCCAAACGAGCCGAACAAGATCAAACAAGAATTTATTCGTGTTTGGCTTGTTTATAAATTGAGCTCAAAAAAGTTATTTGCATTCATGTCACTAAATCAAACATGAGTTATTTAGCGAACCAGATACAGGCTTTTTTTTTCCAAACGATGAGCTTTTTTGACAGCCCTATTTACATCACATGTATCAAATCTTATCTATTGTCTTCTAAACTTCAAAATTTAATTTTTCTCAGATTACTTTGCTTTTGTGTGCAAAACAGGTTCACATCCTACCTATATTTTATATGAAAATGCCGTGGAAGTTGCCCGGCTCCCAGACATCATCAATGGCTCCAAAGCTTTTAGGCCAGCTATTACTAAGGTTTCTCTCTTACCTAATTATGCTTCTTTTGCAAGTTCACCCATTTCCTACTATGGACATTGTTTTATATTGTTCCTTAAGATCTATGAATTGTTTGTAGAATGATTTAATTTAAGATTCTATAATGCTCCTAACTTGTAAAACAATCTAGGGCCTTAACTCGTAAGCACCGTCTAAGGTTTATAATGTAATTATTATTTGCAATGAATATAGTTCACTTGAAATTAATTTGGATTCACAAGTCAAATACCAGTAATTATAAAAAACTTGGCCATGTTAGGTGTAAATATAAAATACTGGGAGTAAACCAAAAACTCACCCAAAAAAGGGGCAATTACATACATAGCACTTAAAAGTTGAAACATTTCTATTTACAAATATATCACCCTTTCATTCATTTTTCAAATTACCACTCAAATATCAAAATTCACGAAGAAAACTTGATTCATATTTTTCATCGCACGAGTAAATACATCAGTTTGGTAGTTCAAAAAAAATCAAATGTTTGCTTGTTTTGTAAATGGCAATGTTTCGAGTGCCGTGTAAATAATTATCCCAAAGAAATAATGCCATAATTGATTAAGTCCGAAGAAAATAGAAATTTGAATTTTTACAACACAATTGAAATTCTAGATGCTGCAAACCTGACTAAGAACTATTGCAACGCTAATAATAAAACATTTTAGTTTGAAGATCATAATGGTCTTAGCCTTTACAAGGAGGAGATATCCGGAAGTTTGAAGCATCTGAAGGAATATCACATCCAACAAGCACACACAATTGAAAATAAAATTAAAAATTTTAGAAAGAATTACATACATGCCACTCAATTTGTATATATTTACATATCTAACACTTGAACTTCAATTTTTACATACACGCCGCCTCACCTAATATATGAAAAGGTGTATTTCACCTTTTAGAAGTTCAAATGATGGCATTTTTTCAAGCGACATGAAAGAGTCAGGCGTTAAAAATGTAAGAAACAAAGTTTAGGTGTTAGATTGTTAAATAGATAGGAATTGGGTGGCATATATGTAAATGCCTTTTCTAACCCTGTAGATTAAATGAGTATTACTTTGGAAGGCGATTTGCCCCTTCATCTTAAGGAGAAAATACAGCGTCCAGTTTACCAGACGTGTGGTCAACGGTCGATCGCACAACGCTGTTGGACGAACAACATGGTGCAATCCACGTCGTCTTCCGTATGTCCGGACGATGGACGTAATATTTTATCCATCTTAAGGCGGTGCGATCTTGTATGAGCTTGTATAACTCGTAAGTAGCGGCGCGATCTCTTGATACAATTAATAAGATACATTTATGAACTCATTGAATCATATAGACATAATGCATAACACTAATGTTTTAAGGATGTTAAAGAGAATGATTTGGATCTTGCAATTGAAGAATATATATGTAAGAGAAATATTATTCCAATTTTGTTTTAGTTGAAGTTTTCTTATTAGAAATTGGAGCTAACAAAATAGATTTTTTTTTTTGTTTGTTTGATTTCAGGGCCTTCTATGCCAGCATTTTGAGCTTGACAAGAAACTGGTTGAATACATATCAAATTGATTTTTATTTGGTAGATTTACATACATGCCACTCCATTGTTATAAGTTTACATATCAAACACTTAAAACTTTAGTTTTTACGTATCTACCGGCTTATTTATGCATGAAAGTGTATATTTTACTTTTCAACAGTTTAAATAGTCATGTTTTTTATGTGATATGGAAGATTTGATTGGTATAATGTAAAAAAAGCAAAGTTAAAACATTGGATATGTAAATACATAGGAATTGGGTGGTGTGGTGTGTATGTAAATGCGCCATTTTGTATTAATCATTATTACAATGCCAAGATTTACATAAAAGCCTCATCTGACTCTTCTGCTCTAGATGTAAAAGACTAAATGCTTCAGTATCATGAAGTTTGCAAGTATTTAGGGCTGTCAAAACGGCTCGTTGTTCGCGAACAACTCGTGTTCGGCTCGTTCGCTAAATTAACGAACCGACATAGCTTATGGTACGACACTCTTTCATTTAAACTATGAAAAATATGGGATCAGTTTGTTTTGGCTCGAAATACTACTATATATATATATATGTATATATGTATGTTAGCAGGATGACATGGAAGCATGCGCACCAAAGATTTATAATCAATTAAAAGTATTAATAAAGAAAATAAAATAAAAATTATTAAATTAGATTCAAATGATATTTTAAATCTTGCTCCAATTTTTAACATCTTATGACTACGTGATTAGGGTTGTCAAAACGACTCTTTGTTCGTGAACGGCTCGTGTTCGGCTCGCTAAGCAAACGAGCAGAACATGAACTCACTTTTTGAGCTCGAAATATAAACGAGCCGAACACAAGCTAAGCCTGGGCTCACTCGTGTTCAACTCATTTACACCCCTACATGTATTTCCTAATTTAAATTTAATCACAGTTTTTAATCATTAAATCTGTGGAAAATTTACTTACATGCCACAAATTTCTTATGTATTTACATATCCAACACCTCCTTACCTGCGTGAAAGGAAGCATTTCACATTTTAAAATTAAAACTAGTGACATTTTTTATGTGATAAGAAAGATTGGCAGGGTATAAATGTAAAAAAATAAAGTTTTGGTGTTAGGCATGTATGTGTAAATGTATAAGAATTGAACAAACTGCCAAGCTATTTTCTTCGACACGATCGGTTTAGTCGTAGAGTTCATAAAAGTGTCATATTGGTTCTCAAATTTATTAAATTGAGGCTCTAATAGTAATTCATAAGTATTATTTCTATAAATTTTTTATTAAAATGATCTCATGTAAATAATAATTATTATTTTGTCATTTTGTTTGAATTGAGCAAAGCCGTCGTGTATGTCGATGCCCCCTAAATCTATTTACAATTGAAATTAATATATAACTAATCAATCAAACATTAAATTATAGGGACAATTACATATAGACCAACCAAAACTTCTTATTTACAAATAAACTACTCTTTCATCCATTTTTCAAATTCTCACTCAAATGGAAAAAAAAATTGCGTATGTAAGACGTATGCAGCGTTGCGTACGTCAGGGTTACACAGAAGATACATTGTGATTATATCCGCGTTATATCCTCTATAACCTCTGTTTAATCTACCTGTACCTTCTATTAAGTTTCACCGTTCTGTTTCATATGTGTGTATGTTTACGGGAATATTACATAAGGTATAACACAAATATAACCCTCCTATACTTTCTGTAAAACCCTACCGTACGCGACACTGCGCACGTCTTACGTACGCAAATGTTTTCCCACTCAAATATCAAAATTCATGGTAAAATTTCTACCCATATTTTTCATCTTTTTATCAAATTCTAAATAGTTTGACCGTGGCACGTGTAAATGCATCGAATCAGGAGTTAAAAAAAAAATCACACAGGTGCTTAATTTATAATTATCAATTTTCAGAGGTGGTATTTATGTAATTATCCAAAAATTATAATCTCAGTTTTCAATTAAAACTATCAGAAAATTACTTCCTCTTAAACAATGTCAAAAATCCTTTCAATAGAATGCATGTCAAAACTTCATCTTAAAAAAGATACAAAATTGCATCAGGGTTACATATATAAATTAAAATATGAAATTTGGTAAATCAGCAATTAAAGCTTTATTCTTCCACCCAAATAAATTATAAATTATTACAATTTTTTTTTTAAAAACCCAAATAAATTATAAATTATTACAATTTTTTTTTTTTTAAATTAGAATCTCAAAAATGAAAACCCTTCATAATCTGCCTGCATGTAGCAGCCGTATATCTCTGTCAAGCATTTAAATATGTCTCCCAACCTTCTCCTTCCAATTTCTCTGCTTTCTTCAGCACAGCATCCTTCAATTCTTCTTGATATTCAATCACTCTATCAAATACCATAAACTTCATTAAATTACAAATAGACATAGGGGGTTCTGCATGTAATTATCCCAAAAAGGAATCATAGAAGTCAAAGCACTCACCTTTCCCACAATTCATCATCTCTAGCCGCCAGCATTCTGACTGCTAAAAGAGCTGCATTTGCTGCATTGCCTATTGCAACTGTAGCAACTGGGATGCCTTTAGGCATCTGCACAATAAAATATTCACACTTTAAATTAATTCATTAAATATAAATCTATAAATATATATAAAAAAAAGTAATCTTTAGGTGTTAGATATGCAAATACATAAGAATTGATGTGGTGTGAAAGATTTGAGTGTTATTGATGTAAAAAAATCAAACTTTGGAGGTTAGATGTGTAAATATGCAGGTTGTGTGATATGTTTAATCACTAACCTGCACAATAGACAAGAGTGAGTCAACTCCATCTAATGAAGACGTCCTAATTGGAACTCCTATAACAGGCAAGGGAGTCAATGAAGCCACCATGCCTGCAACATTCCAGATCTTTCACAAATCAGCAAAATATCAACTCAACCTATATAAAAAAGGGTATTTACATACATACCACACAATTCCTAAGTTTTACTTTTTACATTTATACCAATCAATTTTTTTATATCACATCAAAAATGCCTCCATTTTGACTTGTACAGTGACAAAAATACACCTTTTCAGGCATAGATAAAATTGCATACATGTAAAAATTGAAGTTTAGGCGTTACGTATGTAAATACGTAGGAAATGAGTGGTATGTATGTAAATCTTACGTACAATGGAAGTAGTTTTTATACTTCTTATTAATTTAACAGACTAACCAGGTAAATGAGCGGCGCCGCCGGCACCGGCGATGATGATCTGAATGCCCCTTTCCTTTGCAGACAAAGCAAAAGAATACATCCTCTCAGGTGTTCGATGAGCCGAAACAATTGTTATCTGCGTAAAAAAAAAAAAAAAAAGTTATAGCGGTTGCAAAAAACAATATTTGATGGGGTCTCGATAGCTTTTCGAACCAACTAGAAACACATTTTTACATACCACCCTATTCCTGAGTCTTTACATATCTAATATCTAAACCTTTTTACATTTATTCCATCCAAATGTTCCATATCACATGATGAAATATACCTTTTCATGCATAGAAAAGGCGATATATATATGTAAATAAATAATAATTGAGTGGTAAATATGTAAATCTTCCTTTTTAGAATGATAAAATAAACAAACCTCAAATGGCACATGAAAAGAATTCAAGATCTCTGCAGCATCCTTCATTGTTGGAAGATCAGAATCAGAGCCCATAATAATGGAAACTTGAGGGGTGTCTGTGCACAGCAGTTTTTGTTATTAACAACTGAAGAAAGACGTGAAACTTTCAAGCAATAAACTAATCAGCACCCCAACAATTTGGAATATTACGGAATAGTATCAAATGATTTGGCATTTACATACACACCACACAATTCTTATGTATTTTCATGTCAAACACCCAAAGTTTGATATTTACATTTATAACATCTTGGTGACGTAAACTTGTACTTGAAAAAGTGTATTTCACTACTAAAAAGATATTGATTGTCACATTTTTTTATGTGATGTTAAGGATTCAAGTGATTTGCACGTAAATATGAATGTATAGATTGTGGTATGTATGTAAATGACCCATCGAGAAATTAAGCGATCAACCTTGAGTGTTGCTTTCGATGCTTTCTCGATTCAACATCAAATCCAAGCGCTTTTTGACGGTGTTCCTTGAGGGTCCCACAAGTGTGATATGCCCCATCTTTCGAAGCTTCCGCATTTCTACATTATCAAATAAATGTGCCATTAAAGTAGAAATATAACAAAGTTTTGATGTGATCGAATGTGTAGCACATTACTTGGAAATAAAAATGAAAATCTCGAGATAGTGTTAGAAAAGAAAATAGAAAGAGGAAAATTTATTGAAAATCTCGAGATAGTGTTAGAAAAGAAAATAGAGAGGAAAATTTATATATACCACTCAATTCCTATGTATTTACATTTCTAACACTTAAATTTTAATTTTTACATATATCCCGCCTTTTCTATGCATGAAAAGATGTATTTCACTTTTTAAAAGTTAAAAGAGCACTATTTTTGATGTAATATGAAAGATTTGGATGGTCTAAATGCAAAAAAGTAAAGCCTAGTTGTTAGATATGTAAATACATAGGAATTGGGTGGTAAATATGTAAATTGGAGCACTTACATATATCACCTCTCAAACTTATGTATTTACATATCTAACACCTAAACTTTGAGTTTTGCATTTATACCACCCCAATCTTTCAAATCACATAAGAAATACCACAACTTGAACTTTTAAAAAGTGAATACACCTTTTTGTGCAAAGATAAGGTGGCACATAAGTAAAAATTGAAGTTTAATTGTTAGATATGTAAAAACATAAGATTTGAATGGCATGCTTGTAAATCTTCCAAAGAAAAAACGTACAGCTTTGAGTATCTAGAGAAAAAGATAGCTTAATCCTGTTTCTAACCTGGTTTATCATACCAATGAACTCTGGCTCCAGGAATGCTTAATGCTTTCTTCATTAATTGATGAGCTAAATTGAACCCTCGCTCTCCCTAAATTGCAAAAAGATTCACAAATTAATATAACAAGGCAAGATCTCTTGTAAAATGAAGGGGCATTTACATTCGTAACACCAAGTTTTTATATATTCACATGTCTAACATCCAAACGTTGCATTTGCAGTTGTACCTCCCAAAATTTTCATATGACATCAAAAATATCACTATTTTCATGCATAGGTAGGGTGCTAAGTATTTATGCAAAAATTGAAGTTATAGGCGATAGATATGTAAATAGATGGGGATTGAGTGGTATGTATGCAAATCGTCCTAAGGAAAAAGTACCTCGTCCTCGCCGAGTATGTTGTACATGATTGCAGAAGGGATCTTCATGGATGTCTCGCCGAGCGGAAGGCCGAGAACAGCTCTTAGGTGCTGCTCATATTGAGAGGTATAGCAAGACTCTATGGTGTGATGCCCACTGTTATGAGGTCTAGGAGCAACTTCATTTAGCAAAACCTATTGGAAAGATATTGAGCATCAGCATTCAAGAAAAGTGTCAAAATGATCCACTAACTCTTTGTAAGTTTTCATTTTTGTCCCAAAATCTACAAAAATGTCAATTTAATCCTCATACTTTTTTAATAGAAGCTAAAATAATCCTCCTTGTGCACCTTTTTCAGCCCATATTAATATAGTATAGGGATTAATTTGACATTTTTATAGACTCTAGGACTAAAATGATCCCATGTACATAGTTAGCAAACTATTTTGGCATTTTACTCATTAGCATACATAAATAATATGAATTAGATGTAATACTAAGCAAAACAGAGAGCGCCACCTGTCCATCATTTGTTAAAAATAACTCCACCGCAAAGACCCCTGCCCCCTCGAGGGAATTAACAGCTCTCTGAGCGACGTCGATAGAAACTTTTCTTATTTTTTCAGGTACATCAGCAGGAGCTTCAACAATGTGACAAATGCTATCTCTGGAAGAGCCAAAATTCATACAAAATTGATCAGATGCAAAGCGAGGAGATTAATTTCCGAGAAAGCAAAGCAAGAATTTCGTGTTAAAAAAGAACGTTTTTTTTTGCAAAAAGATGATCTTTTTTGTTAGTGAAAAAGAAAGGCAAATGCTTTTCAAAAGCAACCGAGAAAACTTGTCATCTTACTTGTGAATAGTTTCAACCACAGGATAGCATAAAAGTGAACCATCCCTTCCCCTTGCAACAATGACTGCGAGCTCCTAAATTAAAGAGACAAAAATGTAAAAAGACAAGAAAAATCATAGTATTACTAATCTAAGTTCTCAAAATGCATAATTAAGAGAACTGAAAAAAGTTACTTTAGTAAATGAAGTCCATCGCTCAACATATAAGCCCCTTTCAAATCCACCCAATGCTGCAAGCAATTGGATATCTATTAGAAAGAGTCTATAGCCACTTGGTGAAGATCAAGAATAAACAAATAACTAAGAATTAAATTGAATTTTGATACATGCAACTAAGTCCATAACAAGGCCATCACACAATATTTCACTTCCATAGAGACAAGAATCATCAAATTATTATTAAAGTGTCAAAATAATCCCTTGACTATTTACATAGATCATTTTAGTCCTAGAGTCTATAAAAGTATCAAATTAATCCCATACTCTTTAATTTGGGGCTGAAATATCCCCCGTGATTAAAAGTTTTTGGGACTAAATTAGCCCTTTTATAGACTTGGATTAAAACGACCACCCTGCAAAGAGTCAGGGGGGCTATTTTGACATTTTTCTTTGTTATTAATCTAGTTACCTGCAATAACAGAAGGAAGCTCTTCTTTACGACTAGCGACAGCATTTCCGCGCCCATCATAAGCTTGCCTTCTACTTTTAACCATCATTGGGAAACCAAATACATTGGCTGCTTCTTCAGCGCTTTCATGGCTATCTATCTGCAAGTTTTTATGCATTCATAAGTTTTCAACCTTTCATTGAATTGTCTATTTATTTATCTACAAAATAACAATTGGCATTGACATACATGCCACCCAATTCTTATGTATTTACATATCCAATACCTAAACTTTGCTTTTGGCATTTCTACCACACAAATTTTTCATAACACATCAAAAACACCAGTATTTCAACTTTCAAAAAGTGAAATACATGTTTTCATGCATAGATAAGGTGGCATAAGTGTTATATATATAAATACATAGGAATTCAGTGATATGTATGTAAATATTCCAAATAAAAATGAGGATAACCTTTTGAAAATCAGGAAGGGGAATCCCATGTTGAGAAAAGTGAATCTTCTGGTTATATTTGTCCTGCAATAAGCCACAGCAGCAAAGAAGGTTAGACCAACCATATTAAGAAAAAGGGACATTTACATGCTACCACACAATTCTAATGTATTAAAATATCAAACACCCAAACTTCAATATTTACATGCATCACACCAAAAATACCACCATCACTTACTTTTAAAAAGTTAAATACGTGTTTTCATGCAAATATTTATCACAGAAACGTGTTAGAATAAAAATATGAAAGTTCAGGTGTTGGATATGTAAATGTATAAGAATTGTGTTGCAAATTTCCCTAAAAAAACACATCATGCCATCTACTTCACAATCGGAGTTTATCATATCTTCATAAAAAAACCAAACAAAAGTCAGAAAATAAAAAACATTCAAGCAACTATAATTTCTAAAAGCATTAATTGGCATTACACTACAAAACAAATGAAGAAGCCTACTGATACAAAAGAGCATGACAGACTCAGGCAAACATAAGCTTGAAACAAATTGGACGATTAAAAAAAAAGGAGGACTTACATACATACCACACAATTCTTATGTATTTACATATCTAACATCTAAACATTCATATTTACATACAAACTACTCAAATCATTAACATCACATCAAAAATATTTACTTGAATTTTGAGCCGTCTGATCTACACAATTTGTTTTGATATACTATTTCTCTCTAACATGCCTATTCTGCTTATTTTATGATTGTTATAAATGCATATGCCAAATTAAATATTTTTGGGACATTTACATAGATACCACCCAATTCCTATGTGTTTATATATCTAACACCTAAACTATACTTTTATATTTATACCACCCAAAACTTTCATATCACATAAAAAATACTATTGTTTTAACTTTTAAATGTGAAATACACATTTTCATGTATAGGTAAGGAGGCATGTATGTAAAAAATTGAATTTTAGGTGTTAAATATGTAAAGACGGAGAAATTGAGTGGTATGTACGCAAATCTTCCTTTAGTTTTCAAATTTTTATAGCATGGTTATGCCTTGTACAAAGTTGGAAAATCATTCATTTCGCTAAATCTTTCATTTTTAGTAAGGAGAGGGAGTGGTGGCCATCTTGGAGATGGGCAAGAATCATTCAATAAGAATTTACTTTTAGAAATTTGTGTTACACTGAGAAGCAAAAGTGGTTCTAGCATATTCTATAGTTACCTCTTGGTCCTCTTGGTGTACTTGTAATAACAAGATTTCATTATGTTATAGTGAAAAGCTTGTATACATGATGAGATTTTGTTACACTGATTGCTACCGTAATGGATAAATTGTCACGTTGCAACCAAACAAATTGACTAAGACAAAAAAGTCAACTTGTTAAGCTAATTTGGGTTGACTTGTTGTGACTCTTATAATTGATTGAAATGGAAGACGAACAGCAAACAAATGATGAATAATGCAAGTAAATAAACACTATTATGGACAATAACTGCATCAAACACTAATTACAAATAAGCTTAGAGAGGTCATTTGAGATCACTTTTATTTTTTATTTTATATTTTTTATTTAGTTTTACTTAATGATTTGAAACAAAACATGTAACTATTTGATTAAAGTATGATTATTTTTAAAAACATCCAAAATGCCTGACAGTTGTTTCGAATGTTTTCTAAAGCATGTTAATTTATTTTTAGAAACAATAAATAAAAGAAAGATTTACATACATAATACTCAATTCATATGTATTTACATGTCTGACACCTAAACTTCAATTTTTTATAAATATGTCATTTTAACTATGTACGAAAAGGTGTATTTCACTTTTTAAAGGTTAACATGGTTGTAATTTTGATGTGATATGAAAAATTTTGATGCTATAAAAGTAAAAGGCAATGTTATAATGTTAGATATGTAAATACATATGAATTAGGTGATTTGTATGTAAATGCCCCCAAATAAAATTATGGAAAAAAAAAAACATAAAACAAACATATTTTAAATACAATAGAAAAATATATATATATAATTGATCCCAAACAATCCCTTACTTTCTGCAATAAGGATAGGTAGAAAACCTTACTTGGATTATTCTTATCGTCGAAGGTTTAGGCTGGCAGTCTACTCCCTCTTTCTCCAATTTTTCAAGAGTAATAGCATCAACATGCTCAATCTCAATAGTAAGCACTCCACATCTATGAAGCAAAGAAAAAACATTCTAACATTAAAAAATAGGGGCATTTACATACATGGCACACAATTCTTATGTGTTTACACACATAACACTCATATATTTATTATCACATTGAAAATAGCACTATTACTTACCACTTTTTAAAAGTAAAATCCACCTTTTCATGCATAGGTTTTTAAGCACCAAAGTTCCATGCATGTAAATATAGAAGTTTAGGTGTGATATATGTAAATACATAAGAACTCTGTGCTACATATGTAAATTTCCCTAAAAAATGTACAAAGCTTTTATAAACTAATACATCTAAGTCAATGTTAGAAAATAATAACGTTGCTTTACCTCTTAGCAAATTCGCGAACCGCATCACCATCGTCAAATCGACCTACAAAATGTTGATAGGAGAGAGAGCTTGCAGGAGAATCCTCCGAAGGGTCCAAAGTCAGAACCTTAATGGCCATGAGGCTTGCAGCTTGACACAACATCCTACCTAACTGACCTCCACCCAACACACCAATAATAGTTTCAGAAACCCCATGGATAGTAGAGCCCTCATTTCTACATGCAATTTATGCCAAAAAAGTTATTAAAAGGTTATCACTTCGTAACAATAATAAAATTTTCATAAAATACATAAAATGCCATAAATTATCTTCCAAATTTTGTCGATAGTAACCTGAGAGACTCAAACATGATATTTCACTATGAATTACCAAAGTTTAAGTTTCTTAATACAGCATGAGATGAATATAAATTCCACATATATTCCAATCTAAATAATAATAATAATAAAGCTAAGCTTTATTTTGCTAGTTCCAACAATGTAAAGCAAACTTGTAACCAAAAGAAACAAAGGAAATTTCTTTACCATTACCAAATGAGGTGTAAGGACTATATCATGAAACTAGCTATTCGGTTATCAGATTGCACTGCTAATTGCGTGATCATGCAATCTTCCTTTCCTTTTATTCAAAGCGGTTTCTACCCTAGCCTTCCTAATCTTGCATTATTTTCTTGTTGATTTGCCCTCGACCGCCTCAGTCGTCCTTTCCTTTTAGTCCACTCGGTCATTTTACTCCACACAATTTCCATTCTATCTGTGGGTTTCAATTACACTGCTATACATATGCCATTGACTCTTTTATTGTTCATAATGAAGATAATTTCTTATCATGTTTCATTACTACACAAATTCCTATCTATTCAATTGATTCTTGTATTTCGTATTTAATGAACAATTGCGACTGTCAAATTGTTCTTTATTGGTTTCTCATACCATAGTACCTTGTCATTTATGTTTTAATAAATAATTGTTATTTATTGAATTTGATTTGTCAGACTTAGTGATTGATATTTTCTTATAATAGGTTATATTAGCTTGTTTGGTGGACCGTTGCCACACAACAAATTCATCAACAATAGATTTTGGTTGTGGTATTCTTAAGTTATGTGATAGTTTCATTTGTTCTCTAATTGAATTTTTTATAGTTTTGCTTTTGCAGTTATTTCTTTCGATGTTATTTTTAGTACATGTTGCTCTATACCTTTGTTGGACTATGGTTACATATTTTTATCAATTTAGTGCCGCAGTCCTGACCCGAGGTGTGACATGAGAAAACCAAAACAAACCTATAGAGATATTGTCTTTAACTGAAATACTTCTACAAGGCCTTTGGGCCAAGGCTCCTAGCATCCCCCATCCCAATGCATTCAAGTTATCAGATTCTTCTATTCACCAAGCATCAGCGTCCAAATTCTAAAAATCATATCTTTAGCCATTAAAACCAAACCCAAAAACATCAGCAACCTTCCAAATACTTTAGACCATTACTTCATCCCTCACCTTCTAGCTTTAGCATTTCAAGTTACGTCAAACCCAAATATCATTGAACATTTCTTACAGTTGTACTGAATGCAATGTGTTCGATGAAATGCCTAAAAGAATACCAATCACGACAACAAAAGCTGAAACCAATAGAATCACCACTCACCTCTGAGATGACAAACCCTGGTTATCGCTTTCGATGGATCCTTCCAAATTGAATGATCGAATCGGTGAACGCGACAATGCCATTCTGCCCGGCTGTCTCTGTAACAGTCCAAGCTTGCTGTTTTCAACGAATCTGGGCGATGCGGTGAGCTTTGGGAGACGACGTTTAGTGGATAAGATAGAGGAACAAGGTGGAGGAGAGTAAAGTAGCATTTCAAGCGCCGCAAAGCTAAAAGGGGGGGCGGGCTCTTGTTGTGTGGAGCCGCCGCACAGTATGACTGGAAGAAGAAAATCAACCGGCGAGGTAGGGCGAGATATCGAAGACGTAGTTGGCCGCCGGAACGCGGAGGCCGGCGGCGCCAAAGGAAGCAGGACGGCGGGATTGGAGGGAGGAACGCGGGAGAGGCAACAGGGGTACAAGGTCTGTGTTTTAGTCTTAAGTTTTATTATTATTATTATTATTTATTGGGAGCTCACCTATATTTAGTTATTAAATTAATCAATTAAATAAGACTAAATTTTAGATATTAGTATATATGAATAAATTTAAACATTTATTTGATCTTGATTATATTAATTATTTATTTGATAATTATTTCATTAATATTGTGTTAAAAGATTTCTTTAATGATATTTGATTGCTTACTGTCAATTTTTTGGATTTCATGTATTTAGAAATTCTTAAAATGTTTCCTAAATAGTTATATATATATATAATTTATTTTTTTTTGTAAATATTAGAATTTCATCAAATAGTATAAATAATCATTTCATTTCCTGCCTTAAGAAAATTAAAGTTTAAATCTTGCAGCTTGCAATAAGGCTGATGTTCGGAAAAATTATTTCATACGAACACCGCATGCAAAGATATATACAGTGTCTGATCTCCATCCTCTATCACAGTAAATTAAAAAAAAAAATCAAAATAGGACCCACCGTCATACAATTTTGTTCTGATGGACGGTGGAAATCGGATACAATATGCATATCTGTATACGGTGTCCGTATGAAATAATGTTCGAGACAAACAACAATGCAATGAGACGATTAAAATAATTAAATATTGAATAAATTAAATTAAAAAAATTTTATAAATAGTTTTAAAGTAAATTTCATAGTTATGTATATATAGAGAGTTGACAAACATCTTTTAAATAATGAAGAAAAGAATATATGTTAGGTATGACCCATATACCATAGAAGGGACATGCTGGAGTGAAACAGAGGGAGCATAGCGGAGCTCGTGAGCGGAGTGGAGCAGAAATTGAAGGCAAAACTGTCGCTCTGCTCCCGAGGACATATGCATCTTTGTCAAACCTCATTAAATCTCTGTGTTTTCTTATGTATTTGTGTCGATTCTTGTTTTTCTTTGCCCTAAAATTCTCAACAATATACATATATCTATTTGACAAATAAATACATGTATTTACATCACGAATAACCAGTACAAATTTTAAGGAGATCCGACGGTCCGAAAAAAAGAAGAAGAAAAAAAGAGGACTCACCAACAAAAAGACAAAAGACCCTAATTACTCAAATTTCGAACAAAGGATGAAGGCTGCCCGAGCAAGGAGAAGGACAAAAAAAAAGATCCAAATTCTAGCCAATCAAATTAAAGCAGGATAAACAAACACTCAAGCTAACTGCCGCTGAAGAACCGAGCAAAGGCATAGAATTACCTCTCAAAAAACCCGACCTGAGAGAAGAATCTAATTTATTTGCATCACCAGCAGTTCGTGAACGCCTTTAATGTTCCTCTTCAAGGATTAAGAATTGAGAAGAATCTAATTTATTTGCATCACCATACGCTCGATAGCTTATTTACATCTATCAACATGACATCTTTATTCAGGAATCAAATGACGATAGTTAGATTAGATTAATCGATCGACAAATTCTAGTCGAACTGATGATAAACAAGAACAATCAATCGATTGCACCAACCCAACCTAGCCACCTGCATCAGTCTTACCTAGCCAAAGTCAATTTAGCAGTCGACTGAGTTGTAAGGTAGTCGAGCAAAAGGATCATGCATTTAAAATATCAAAAATAACATATACAACCCCCATTAACACAGTGGCAGAAAATGTAATATCACTTATTGTACCACAATTGCTTATAAATTTATAGGTTGGCCACTTTCTCAGAACATGCCTCATCCAAAGTTTGATGAATGAAGAAAAGCACTTTATTGTTCTTTCTATTTCCTTCCAAAAAAACTCCCTTAGGCTATTGATAATGTTGCTTCATCTAGTGGCTCAACACATCATTTTTCAAGCATCTCCCAAATATTCTGGAAATCAAACAATGCCTTCATTTGAATACTCCAATCATCATCATTCTTCTTTGTGAAATGAGACAATTGTAGATTCAAACCACTTGACATCTTTTAACAATATTTGCACTCATACAATTTGATAAATCAAATACATACGCGAAGAATATAAATATGTGAACAACAAATTGTGTGGACAACAAAAAAAAAGATAAATTTTACCATTTTCATTCAAACTCAAAATGACAATGCAAAAGATCTTTTTATACTTATACAAATATCATTTTGGTGGTGAATGTAGAACACTAAAAGAAACTTTAATAAATACATAATTTTAGATATTTATAACATTTAGTTAGTTTTTCTTTGATTCCAAAACACATCTCCATTCATCGGAAACCTCCTCTCCCACCACCACCCTCCTCTCGAATCACCGGAATACAACTTGAAGTCCTCAATATCCCTCCTTTCTTCTTCCTCTTCCTCAAAATCTCTCTCATGGCCTCTGCCTGATAAAACACAGGATGAGTCCTTTCTATGCGGTTGAATCTTGAACAAGAGCTCATGTGTGAATCCAAAGCTTCTGCTTCCTCCTGCTTCCCTTCCATCTTCTTCTTCTTCCTCTTCTCTTCCTCGACCGCATCGGAGCAGAGGCCGCAGATCCACTTGCCGGAGAACTTGTCTCGGATTCGCCGGATATACTCCGGCGTACACTCTTCTGATATGCCACAACACTCACAGGTGATATCCTCTATGATCAGCTGTAAGAACTTTCAGTCATGTTAACATTATATTTTTTTTAAATAATCATGCTAAATATCATATTGCTAGTTATATATACCTTAATTTCTTGAAAACTTTATGAAAATTCTCATTTTGTGTTTCTAAAATTACGACATATTTGAAATTTTCTGATGACAATTATAGATATTAGATGAGGATAAGCTCATCATATAATATGCATATATATATATATATATATATATATAACACACACACATACATAGATACCATACAATTATAATGTATTTATATATCTAAGACCCAAATTCAAATCTTTAATTTCACATAATATCACATGAGAAGTGCAACATCGTCTCCTATTTAAAAGTGAAATACACATTTTAATGTATTAGTTTATCAAATAAAAGTTATAAAAGTGCTATATTGCTATAAGAAAATGATTGAAATCTTTAGCCGTATGTATAGTAATTACACTTCTTAAAGTTCCGGGTGTTTGGAAGTCGGATTTGAGTAGGATTCACGCACGATTTAACATGAATCCAGCCAAATAAAAAAAAAAAAAAAATAGCATAACCTAAATCCACACTTTGCTAAACTCAATTTTCATTCTATTTCGTTACTTTTTTAACGTAAATTCAGGTTTATCAAATCCTATTACGTGTATTTAACAGATTTAGCTTAAGAATAAAGTCACAAAAGTATGATTCATGCCAAACACAATAAACAAATTTCATAAACTTAACCTTAAATTGAACCAAACACAATTCTGATTTCATAGCATTTATATTTGATGAATTCAGACTTTATCATATTTTACAGACAACCAAACAACCGCTAAGAAACATCATGACAATCAAAATAGAAATTGCGATTTCAATTGTTATGCTAAAGTTTTATAGAGAAAAATTTAACTAGACGTTAAAATTTAGTTAGTAACATTTTAAATAATATGTAATTATAGCTTAGTTAAACTTATAGCACTAAATGACCTCTGAAATCACCGGCAAAATGTCTCCATGGCCTTCTGCTGCATCTCTGTCAAGCTCCAACGAGAGATCAGACATGGCTCGATGAAGCTTCTTGGCAAAGTTGCAGCCATGGCTGGTGATGAAGAGTTCTCCATTTGCTGTCATGATTGATTTCAGAATACTGATGGACTGTTGAGGAGTTGGTATATATAATCAGTGATATGTGAAACATGCATGGTGCTTCTCGTGTCTGCCGCAGTAAAGTATGAAAATTATTGATTTTTTTTATTTGGGGAAGTTTGGGTTTCATGTGAGGTCAGAAAAGGAAATGGATGAGGATATTATAGATTAATTACAATGAGATATTTGATCACCTACATTTATGAAGACATACCAAGATTGATGTGATGTTTGGCTCAAGATCAAATATCTTCTGATGTATTCACAAGTTACATAGGTTTGAGTTATGATATAATTATTGTGATTGAGTTTGTTGGGCTGGCTTGACTTCGGCTCGGTGAGGTTTGTTTGGGCGGCTTGACTGAGTTGGTGCAGATGGTCGGCTGGATTCAATTAGCTAATTTTGGTCTGCATGGCTGGCTCGATTAGATGAGTTTTGTCGATCGATTGATCTAATCTGACCGTGGACCCTCGATCCCTAGATAAGGAACATTTATCTGCAAAATAAAATTAATCTATCGAGCAGGGAGTGGATCACTGTAACTCGGTAGATAACAGATTTGTTAATGAGGGAGGTTCTTCGGAGCGATTGTGAGACTTTGTTGCATTGTTAATTTTAATTCCTTGACGAGGAATCTCGTGGGCATCCTTGGGACTATCGATGATGGCGAGAAACTATATTCTTTCATTGAGTTGGATTTTTCGAGAGGTTAGTCGCTCATTCATTCGACTATTCGGTGGTGGGTTGCTCAAATGCTGATCTTCTATTCAAGACCAATCAACCCGAGCTTGAATCGTGCTTTTGTCTTTAGCTAGGATGACTGCATGCAATCAGATAAGTGGGGCATTTTATTCTCATGTGGTGGGCCCTTCTTTGTTGTATTTCATTCCTTTTGAACCTTTAGATCTACAAACCCCACCCCCCCCACGCACACACAGGGTTGTCAAAACGGCTTGTTGTTCACGAATAGCTCTTGTTCGGCTCCTTAAGAAGCTCGTATTCAATTCGTTCGCCATGTTAACAAGCCAAAGATTTGGCTATTTATGTTCGGCTCGTTTTGGCTCGAAATACTACTTTTATAT